TATGGGGAAGTCAATATGGAAATACCTCAAAGAACTAGGATTAGAGGTTCCATTTGACCCAGCCATCCCTCTGTTGGGTATCTTTCCAAAAGGACTATTGGTCCAAATGGTCAAATGTTGGATATCTTTCCAAAAGAATCAAAAGAATCATACCACAGTGATACATGTGCACCCATGTTTATAGCAGCACAGTTTGTAATAGCTAAAACTTGGAAACAGCCCATCTGCCCATCAGTTGGAAACTGGATAAAGAAGATGTGGTTTTTCTATAAAATGGAATACTACTCAGCCATAAAGAATGAGAAAGTAGATTCATTCATAGGTAAATGGGTACATTTTGAGGATATACTCTGAAGTGAAATAAATAAGTCACACATATGCCAATACTGAATAGTTTCTCTGGTGTGAAAAACTAAAATAGTACTCAGGATCCTAATGGGACAATTAGCAACATGAAATAGGAAGAAAAGGAGCAAAGGTGTAGGGACAGTGAGAAGGATAGGGAAAAGGGAACAACGGAAAAGGAAAAAAATATGAGAAAATGTAAAAATGGAATTAAAGTGTTTGAAGGTGGGGTGGGGAGGAGGGGGTGAAGGGAGGGCGGGGACAAGGGGAAAGAATGAGAACCAAGACCTGGCATGTAAAGGTACAGGATCCCAGTAATGAATGTAACTGTACTGTCTACCTAGAATGTACCAATAAATTCAATTTAAAAGAAAAAAAAAAGAAAAGAGCTCTTGCTGCAATTCTCTTACAGTTTCTAGGAATGTTTTTGTAGCCTTTAAGGCTGGATATAGAGTTCCAAATGGAAATTATTTATTCTATAAATATTTGCTGTTTTCTTGCATTTTACACTTATGCAAAAAAAGCTCTTTGACTTCAAATAATACTGGAATTATACATACAATTGCATCAAATTTGTGTTGTCCAAATTTCACGAGCAAATGTGCAGGGAAATTCTCCAGTTCAGAGACAGAGCCTTTGATTTCATCGCCTGTCCTTTCTCTGCCTATTTCTCAAGCTCAGCCTTGTGCATGGAAAGTATACTTTAAAATACAGCCCTCCTTTTCTCTTATTGTCTTCTGGGAAATAAGCACAGAACTGCTTCCTTCTTTAAAAACTATCAAGAATCCCTCCCCACACCCATTAGGATGAATACAGTCCAAAAAAAGGAAAATAAGTGCTGGTGAGAATGTTGAAAAATTGGAACCACTTCTGTACCGTTGGTGGGAATGTAACATGATGTAGCCATGGTGTAAATGAGTATGGTGACTCCCCGGAAAAGTAAACTTAACCATATCATCTGAGCCCACAATCCTACCTCTGGATATGGACCTGAAAGAGCTGAGAGCAGGGACTCAAACAGATAATGTGTACAACCATGTTCCCAGCAGTGTTATTTGCAATAGCCAAGAGGTAGAAGCAGGCAGGTGTCTTAGAACGGAGGAACCGTAAACAGGATGTAGTGTGTATATACAGTGGAATATTATTCAGACTTGAGGTGGGAGGGATTCTGACACGGGCACATGGGTGCGCCTTGAGGACATTACCCATGTGCTCAGTGGGCTAAGGCAGTGAGAAACTGACAAGTACTGTGACTCCACTTTGTTGAGGAATGTAGAGCATTCAGATTCACAAAGACAGGAAGTAGACTGCAGATTTCCCAAGGCTGAGGGATAGGGAGTGAGTGTTGCATGGGGTGTAGTTTCAGATGGGGATGACAAAGAGCCTAAACTTAATCTGGGGCTGGCGGGGACAACATCTTCCTTCCAGTGCCCGAGTCCATTCTTCTGGATGGCGTGAGGCTCTGAGGGTGGAGCCCGTGCCCACTCTGCAGATTTCAGGCAGCTCCCTCAAGCACCTCCTGGTCTCCTTCTTCTTCCTCTGCTCTAAGTCTCTAGATTTTCTCTGGTTTAGGCTGGCGGGAGGGCATCTCCTTGACATTGGCTCAGGTTTTCAGCCCATCAACAGCCCAGATCCTTTCTTTTTTTTTGTTTCCTCCCTTCCTCTTTTCCCTTTTAAAAATGAAATGTACAAATCACATGAATCTTGACAAATGCATACTGCATCATGCAAACCCCTATCAAGGTATAGAATGTTAACATCACACCAGACAGGCCTTTCATGCCCTGGCCCAACCTCTCCCCTATGGTTTCCCCATCATGATTTTGCCTGTTCTGGAACGTCATGTGACAGGAATGAGGCACTAGGCGCTCATGTTTCCTTCCTTTTCATTGCTGTCTGTATGCCATAGTCTCCCTGTGCCAGGCTTGTTTGGTGGACTCCTGGGCTATTCCCAGTTTGGAGCTCTTATGAATGAGGCTGCTGTGAACAGTCTTACACAAGGCTTTTTGTGGACAGATGCTTTGGCTTCTGTTGAGTTACTACCTAATCTTTGGGTCATAGGGCAGTTTAAAAAATTAGCCAAACCATTTTGCACTCCTCTTTACAAGGTATAAGTGGTCTACATGCCTCGTGTCTCTGCCGTAGTTTGGTTTTGGCAGATTTATGTCCTCCAAGGAGTCCCACTGGGTACGTAGAGATACATCCTCATAATTTTCAGTTGCATTTGACTGATAATATTGAACACGTATTAATCATTCATGGGATCTTCCTTGTGAATACTTACCCAGCTCTTTTACTCATGTTTACTAGGTTCTTTATCTTTTTATTATTCAGTTGCATTAATATCTTTTGTATATAGAATTTTAAATTTTGTATGAAGGTTAATTTATCTTTTTTAGGTTTATAGTTATTTTTATAGCCTAAGAAATGTTTCATACCTAAGCCAGTGGTGGTGAATATATGGCACGTGTGCCACAGCAGGCTGTTTGTATCATTGAAAGCACTAAAAGGTTCGCCATCACTCCCCTAAGCCACGAACACTATATTCTCCATATTTTGTTCTTGAAGTTTTATAGTTTGGCTTTTACGTCGGGTTTGTGATTCATCTTGTCTTATTTAGTGTGAAGTAGAGATTGAGGATAATTTTTTCTACATGGATATCTCTTTTTGTTCCCAGCAACCACTTGTTCAGAAGACCATCCTGTCTGTGATGAATTACACTGGTACCCATTTAAAAATCAGATGGTCAGGTAAGGGAGGGTCTATTTCTGGGCTCTTTGTTCTGCTCCATTGGTCCCTTTTTTTTTCATCTTGCCAGTTACCGCATCTTCATAGCAGCATCCCAACTCCTGGTCCTCACATTGTCCTGGCTTTCTGTCTGTGATGGAGTAGAAATACCAGTGTTGTTTGCTTGTGGTCAGATAGGTGATGATGTCCCTGGTGGGTGTCAGCACAAGGTGAATTCTGATGGGGGCCTGGGGTGGGACATACACAGGACATCTTCCACAAATGATTCTCCACATTTTGGATTCTGGAAGTGAGCTCTCACATCTCCAGGTACCATCACCTACTTGACGGGTCAGTACAGGAGCAATTGGGTGAAATAATTTTAGTCAAGATATTTGATTCAGTGGCAGCGGAAAGCAGGTAGTGACTTTCTACTTAGATCCATGATCAACCGGGGCCATTGTATTTTGCAGCATTCTCTGTATTTCACATATGTAAAATGAAGAGACTACACCCCCCAAAGTCATTGCCAGACATTCATTCAGACATGTGGAAGCATTTTGTAGGATAAAATATCTTAACAGCATAAATTGCCATCCTGACCATTTTCTCCCACTGGGATTGTAGACATTCAGAAAGCGGGCAGATATTTCTTGTGTGTGTGTGTGTGTGTGTGACTCAGACGTGCATTCTCTCATCTTTGATTTTCTGTTGCACAGCGTATTTAAATCATTTACTGTAAGTGTCTCCCGTCTTAAATAGGCAGCTCTTACCTTCTCAGAGGTTTTGATTTTAGGCATAAACAGGAGCAGGGACAAGCAAGTGATAGCAGCTGTGTACTGCAGATGCTAAGCCCTGAGCAAGCAGCCGACAGCAGTGATTAGCTTGAGGGGTCAGCCATGTGCTGCTCTTGCCTTTTGGGGATGCTTGAAACATCCCAAAGTCCCTTAGCACAGGGGATGGGTGAGTGTCCTGGGGTGGGGGGAGGGCTTGGGACAGTGGAGAGAAGGGTAGAAGCAGCTCCTTTGATAAGGGATTTGATTGGGGGGCAGAAGAGAAAAACATAGCTGCCCTCTCCCCGGTTTCAGTGTGGACCTTCCAGCTGGTGGGTTATGTCTGGGTCTCAAGAGGTCAAGGAAGAGCACTTTTCCCCTTTTCTGTAAGTCTGCTTAGCTTGTGATTTTGAGCTTCCTTTCCACACAGCCTTCTCCACAGTCATTGCCACAGTCGCTGTGGGCACTTTGCCTCTCCAGGTCATGTTGGAGGAAGGTCTTCAGAACTAAAGGGGCCTCTTCCCCAGGGGCAGTGTCCACCCTCAGGCCAGGGACATTGTTCACACAGATGGACACTGCAGTGTCTGTGCCCCTGTGTACCAAGTGCTTTCAGGTTTGCACTTTTATAACAACCCAATTTCCAGTGCCCTCCTGTCATACCTGGCAGTCCCTACTCCTGGACCTTTCATCCTGTGATGGGACAAAGCCTGAAGAGTAAAAAGTGAAGGTGAAAGAAGTCTTCTTTAGTCCCTGCAGGATATGAGTGCCTAGACAAAGCTGGCATGGATCGTGGATGGGGAATAGAGTACAGGAGCCTCCAGGTCTGGAACTTCTCCTTTCTTGTTGGTTCTCTTGGCCCAGTGTTGTAGTCAGGATTTTGGCAATGGAATACATGTAATATAGGACACATAGTTTTTTTTTTTAATTTTATTTTATTGAGTTTATTGGTACATTTTAGGGATACAGTACAGTTACATTCATTGTTGGGATCATGTACCTTTACATGGCAAGTCTTGATTCTCATTTTTTCCCCTTATCTCTGCCCTCCCTTCACCCCCTCCTCCCCTCCCCATCTACAAACACTTTATTTTCATCTTTTCATTCTCTCACATTTTTTTCTTTTCCCTTTTCATTCTTCCCCTACGTATCACACCTTCCCTACACCTTTAGCTCTTTTCTTCAAATTTCTAAATGTCAGTAATCTTATTAGAATCTTATGCATTGTTGCAGAATATTCACACCAGGGAAACTATTTGGTATTTACACATGTGTGACTTATTTATTTCACTTAGGAGTATATCTTCCATGTGTATCCATTTTCCTATGAATGAATCTATTCTCTCGCTCTTTATGGCTGAGTAATATTCCATTTTATAGAAAAACCACAACTTCTTTATCCAGTTTCCAACGGATGGGCAAATAGGTTGTTTCCAAGTTTTAGCTATTACAAACTGTGCTGCTATAAACATGGGTG